TATTTACTGAGAAAAATGGTGACGTGTTCAATACTTATTTTACCCGCTGTATGTAATCATAGCTGGGTATTTATTTTCTATTTTATTATTATCTCAGATTTTACTGCAACAGATTAGAACATGAAAATGAGTTTTTTACGCTGCAAAAACAGCATAAAAGCTGAACAGGTTTGCTGAAATTTGCTAAAGAAGCTCAAACTACATTGTTGAACTTTTCAATGCTAAAATGAGGAAAATACAAGCTAAAATAAAAACAACTGCTAAAATTAAATGCAGAACAGTTGCTTTAAATTACAACACATATGCTAAAAAAATTTCAAAATAAGCAGCTAAATTTGCTAAATATTATCTAAAAGAAGCAGAATGGTAGACAAAATTTCAATGAATCATGTGCGTCTGAATTGAGGAGGGATGAAACGATCAGGGGAAAAAGTTATTCATTACAGTTAGGTTTCTGTATGTGTAAGGAAAAGTAGATGGTTAGTTGTTTGTGTGCACACACTCACAAACACACACCAGTAACTTCTTTGCCTGATGGGCTCTTCTGCCTCGAGCTGCCTGGGTCTGATTGTGTCTCGTTGTGTGCAGGTTTTCTGGACTGGGTTCCAAAGAAGATGCAGCGTGTTGGCTGCATGGAGCTGCTGAACACGGTGCAGAGGAGAGTCCAGCCCAAACTCCACGTGTTCGGACATATTCATGAAGGTAAGAGTGAAAATCCAACAACCTGTTCAGAATGGTTACTCTCCCAGTAAGGGCAAGTTTTCATATTTTTTAACAATCCAGTTAAAGAAAGTGATTAAGTGGTTAAAGAGATCTATGATTAGTTGCAACATTAGACTTTATTTGATAAACATATATTTTAACTGTAAAATAAAGACTAAAAATACGTGGGCTGTTTAGTTTTGTAAATTTCTAAAAAATATATTTTAACACAGATGGAGCCATTTTATTCACACACAAAGCATTCTGGGTAAATGATGACGTGGATAGGTCCTCGGTGTAAGCGAGCTATATCCACCCTGAAGGTTAATCTTGGACAATATCTGATGATCGACTCTTTTAAATGAAACCAGAGAGCGTTGACAGAGAGGAGAAGGTAGAAATGACTCAGCCTGTAACTGAAAATATAGATGGAGGACGTCATCATTTACCCAGAATGCTTTGTGTGTAAATAAAATGGCTCCATCCATGTTGAAACATATTTTTAAAAATTATAAAAACTAAACAGCCTACAGCATTTTTACAGTCTTTATTTTGCAGTTAAAATATATGTTTATCTAATAAAGTCTAATGTTACAACTAATCTGGGATCCCTTTAAAATAAACAGATTAAAAAAATCTTTTGCAGATTTTCCTCATATCTCTAGGCTGAGAAGCTGCAAAATACCTATATTTACCATTTTTATCTTTTAATGTATGCTTGCATCCCTAAACAGTCTCTATCTATGTAAAGAGCCACACATGCACCGTGTTTCATAAAGCTGAAGGCAAAAAC